TGGTGGTGGTGGTGGTGGTGGTGGTGGTGGTGGTGGTGGTGGTGGTGCAGTTGCAGTAGCAGTAGCAGTAGCAGTAGCAGTAGCAGTAGTAGTAGCAGTAGTAGCAACAGCAGCAGAAAGAACATCTTTAGCCATATCTTTCGCCAAAAAAAGTACTTTCGCAAACTCGAGAAAACACTTTCGCCAAATGGGTTTTGACATGTTCCGGGGTCATCGTAATCAACGCTATGTATTAGGACCTTTAGATCGACAACCATATAGGTGGGCATGTGGCAAGTGGCATTCCAATCTGACGCACTCTTATGCCGAGGCCCTAGGAGTGGTCGCAACCTCCCAGTCGGAGGAGTCAAAGGTTAGCTAAAACGTGCAAACAAGGATTCCATGGAGCAGGCGGCAGCCCATAGCGGGCTAATCCATCGGACGTTTTCTCACCATAAGGTTTGCGCTTACCGGTTGTCCCCTCTCATCAGGTGTCCTTGTCATTGCCTTTGCACTCTTCGCGCGTCTCTCAGGTTCTTCCTTCATGTCTTTCCACGTGCATTCTTTTGCGCACACATGTGCTCTTCACGCCCCCGGGCGTGTGCATGCACCCTTGGAGTCACAGGGTGCCTTTCGGTATTTAGTTTCATAACAAGTCTCCGGCTATGTGCTACTCTTCAGCTGCACACCTTTTTCCTTCCTCAATCGAAGCTTCCGCAAAATCCTGTGTAACCCTGATCCCAGACCCGCCAAATGTCGGGAACGCCCACCTTGTTCTTGAGGAGGAAGTGGCTGCTCGTGGGCGTCAGACACAAAATCGCTGTTCTCAGAGCTCCGGACTTCAGAGGCTCGCCGTCGGCGGCGGAGGGCTGCCTCCAAGGAGCCCGCTTGATAGCTTCAATCAAGATGGCTTTCCTGCTCATGCAAGTAGGCCCTTAGACGGACCGATGAGGATGGAGGAGGGGCGCGGGGGCAGAGCCCACTGAGTTGGAGCCAAGAGGGGGGGCGAAGACGAAGCCCGAAGAACCAAATTCCCAGAGACAACAGAGATCAGCCGAACGAAATCGGTGACTATCGGGCGCATCCAATCTTGAAGCCAAATTGGAACGTCATTCGTTGTTAAAGGTCAGTTTTTTCTGCAGTCGGGCTAGTGTCTTGCGACACGCCTTCAAATGATTTCAGATGATTTCAGACACTCAGAGGAATCATTTTATGAAGTAGTCCGGCTGCGGGGCCTGTCGCTCCCACTGCCTGCTCTCCAGCTGCACGAAGAAATGAGACACTGCAGCACGGCCCGTGCTAGGCTCACAGCGACAGGGTGTGGCCAAAGCAGCAGTGTCGCCAGTGCCGCATTATGTGCGGATGGGTATTCCTTGAGCTGTGAATCGGCGGAGCCGTAATTCAGGCTAACTCCCATGGCTTGAAGTTCCTCTTGGACATGGTGTACAATTCGGCGAGCTCTCGCAAACGGCCATGTATCTGGCGAAGCGCTCTGCTCATAACGGCATTGAAGAGGATGTCAGCCAGTGGATCACCTGGGCGTGATCCTTGACAGGCGCTAGCCGCCATGCTTTGTTCGTTCTCCACGAAGAACCGCGTGGAATGGTGAAGGCTCTTGATGACATGCTGCAAGTGCAGCCCGAAGCCCGAAGAAGAAGAACCAAATTCCAAGAGCCAAAATGAGGAGGATTCCGGAAAGGAGCCCGAAGAGAAAAATAGTCATAAGGTGAAGTGGAGCGGTGCAGTGAGCCGGGCAAGCGAGACCGAACCACCCCGAACTAGACCCACACGAGATCAGCCGAACGAATCGGTGACTAGCGGGCGCATCCAAGCTTGAAGCCAAATGGGAACGTCATTCGTTGTCAAAAGTCTGTCTTTTAAAACAAGTTTGTTCAGAGTTAACGACTGCTGGCTTTGCCAAATGGTCAAAGATAAAACAAATTTGTTCAAACAGGATTGCCAGCAACTAAGGGGGCTCATACAATAAGGAGAAGGCTGGGCTCGTGGCCAGGCTGTTTCATGGTGTTCCGTGCCATGCACAGTTTCGGACCGTGATCAGTCTTCGTCACAGGCAACACAGAATCTTCGTGTTTGGCGCTCTCGAGTCAACTTTTTGTGGCGGGTGAGGAGATCAAAGCAGCTTTGCTTGGATGTGCAGATTTTGTGGCACTGTCTCTCCGAGTCCCTCCCAGAAAGTGAATGTCGAACCAACTTCTCAAAAGCTTGCTCAAGAGACTTAAGGTATAAATTGAATAAGAAAATGTACCCGTTTCGGGACCAAGGTAGTGAACGAACCAAACAAACTCGAACCAAGTCTCCGAGAGGCAGCATGTGCAGCTCACCGACTCGCTTAAGATGACCTCGCTGGCCTGCACAATCAGACGGACGCGCAAGGCAACAGTGCTAACGACAGGTTAACGGTTAAGGCAGTCCTTCAGTTCCTTCTTTACTGCAGGTCCATGCCGTTCCTGGTCGCAAGATATTTTGACATCATCATACGGCCTAAGTTAAGTTAGAAAGGTAGACCAGGCATTTCAGCCAGGCTACAAAGTGCCCATTCCCTTGCACCAAATATGTTTGGAAAGCAGGTGGGGCAACTCCCAACTGCAATGAACCTTGGTTTCCACGAGCACCACATAGCATCACTGGTCACTAGGCAAAGAACATCTCCATGTAAATAAGCCACACCAAGCTGCTGAACGGCACACTCGCCCACACTCGATACTTCAATGCCTGGGAGAAGGCGTCCTGACAAGCCACAACAGTCGATAAGGAGTCATGAAAGCTGAAATTGGTGCAGCATCAGAACTGTCCAAGTGATAGTAGAAGTGCTCACTTTCAAGAAAACTCGCTTGCGCGTTCAAGAGATGTTGGTCCTCCGACGTCGTTAGTTTCAGCGTCACACAGCCTGCTCCTGCCATCCCCACAAACCTTGCGCACAATTAAGGCTGATGCACGTGCTACTGCAGTCACGCCCTGGAACAAAACATGAAACACATTTAGGTTGTAGATAAGAACAGCCACGAACAAACACAATTCCTGTTGAACCCTTACTCCTATGCCTATGCTGCCACCTAGTCCATGTATGGTTTCCCACCACGCGGGCCAATGCATTCGGGAAACAACACCAGGATGCCAATGAAATTCCTCAGACACCAGTGCGGAACGTTGCCTATTGAAACATCGAGGAACCTAAACAACAATATGGCCACCTGGGCAAACAGGCCAATCAAAATTTCATCAACAAGAATCCATAGACAGCAGCAGCAACAACAACCAATTACACAGGCACAGGCCCAAAATAGTCTTTTCGCATTAAAAGAGGTTCATAAAGCATGTGTGTATATAGTATATATGTATATACATATACAGTACATATATACATATGTGGGGTCACACGGCCTCCTACAACCACCAATGTGCACAATAAGCAGGGCTCATCGGATAGACAAGCAATGCAATGTGATGAGAGATTGGCTCCTGACAGTAGCCGCCCTCCAAAAAAAAGGATCAGCTTTGTACAAAAAAGTGGCGGCTGGTGGTCTTGATTGTGTGGGCAGGTTGGATTTGTAGAGCAAAACTGCATGCACACCAGTGCCCCCCTCTCAGCATGCTGATGCCTTGGAAAATCAACAAAATTCAAGAGCAAACCTCATTGTGGCGGCTATCCCTTTGCAATTTGTGTGATGATGCTTGTGAGCTGAAGCTTGGGTTGCACGATGGCGGCAAGGCCCCCATCCTTTCATGGAACTGCTCTACAAAATCTTTCGCCCAATCACCATTGCAAAATCAGCAGCCTCTTACAGAATCAAAAGGAAAGCTGCCTGGATTGAAAAAGAATGCTGTGAATGTGCCACACCAACTCGCGATCCGTCGGTCGCCCCTCGATAGCCCTTCCACGTTGTGAGGTGCTAGAGGGTATGTATGCACGACAAGACATGTGAATGTACAACACATGCAGCCAAAAGCGAATTTTGGCGCCGTCTTGTTTTTGACAATGAGGACGGAAGATGCTACTACAAGTACCGTACCAGCAGCGCAGTGTCAGAAAGATTCAAACAAGAAGAAAAAGCTCCAAAAAGATTTGCTTTCTGGCATGGAACCCTTTTCAAGCTACAAGCTCGCCAAAAGATCGAGACTTCCGAACACAAGAAGGAAAAGCAAGAAAGCCAACAATCAAACTCCACTACAAATTGATGTTCTTCATTTTACTCTTGTGTTACCGTCTATTTCACTGGTTGCCGCGAATGTTCTCATATTAGAATGACAGCTTTATAAGCTCCCTTCGTCGCATCTTGACGTAGCTTGACTATGTCTACTTGCAGGGCTCTCCTGTCAAGATCTAATGGTTTCTTGGTAGTGGCAAAGAAGATTCTAGGCATTCTTGCAGGTGTGTTTGATGAATCTGTTGATGAGAAAGGCTTCCGACCATTGGTCATGTGGGGGTTATCTGCATGTCGTCTACACATATATAAAGCCGTGTATGTTCATACGACAGCATCTCCACTATCTTCCATTGAGCGTCGTGAAGTCCATGAGTTCTGGTGACCAGCGTGATCCGCCCATGGCTGAGCCCAGCAAGGAGCCACAAACAAAACACAGTGCGGCCAACATCCCAGTGCAAAGCCTCAGCGATTTGCTCAGAACTCCTGGCTTGCTGGTGTTGCAGCACTCTCTCTGATTAGGGCAGCCACGAAATGGCACATATCCTGCAAGAAAATTGATATGACTTGTTGCCATTTAGAATTGTGCTTGCAGCATTGGGTTGGCCTTCGCCACAGCTGGCCGCTTGGGCGTCCTTCACGGACTGAGTCGGCTGCCTGCTGTCAACAAGAACAAAGTCACGACAGAACCTGCAAAGGGGGCCGCTGTTAAGGTTCGAGCAAACAGCAAACATAGCGAATTCACATTTTTCCAGTCGAGATGCTGCTATGGGTGGACAGTTCGGCATCCGTCTTGGGCTTTCATCCCGGACTGTCTGTTGCCTCCACTGCACCATGGTGGCAAGAAAGCAAGTTGAGTGATAAATGTGAACCACTCCAGCCTGACATCTTCTGGCCAGGCAGGAATTTTTGGGCGCTCAATATCAATTTGGTCGTGCTCTGCCTCGGACACTGAAGACCAATATCCCTGCACCATCGTTGGTGAAAGGGGAGTAACACTGTTTTCTCGAGCGTTGCAAGGACAATGACAAGCACTTGGGCTGTGAACAAACATGCAACGCATTCCCGCGTGCTGTCAAACTTGCACGGCAATGCATGCATTTAGACCTGTGCCTGGTGCCTTGTTTGCTTCTGCGTAAGCTTCCAAACAATGCCTTTACAAAGCAAAAACAGACTCTGGCGCCTACTTCTTCTCTTCCTTCTCTCCTCTTCTCTTGTCTTCTCTTATTTCTTTTTTACCTTCCTCTGCTCTCCTCTATTCTCCCCTTCTCTCTTCTTCCTTCTCTCTTCTCCCTTCTCTCTTCTCTTTTCTCCCTTCTCTCTTCTCGCTTCTCTCTTCTCGCTTCTCTCTTCTGGCTTCTCGCTTACCTCTTCTCTCTTCTCTTCTCGATGCCATTTGGTGCCGTTTCATGCCACTGGATGTTACTTCAGGTGGCATGGAGTGCCACTGCATGTTAGTCCTAGGTTGTCGTGCCACTTCATGCTTATTGCCACTCCAAGTGGTGTGAGAAGTAGCACAGAGTGGCCATATGCCATATCCAAACTCCCCCTCCGGCGGCCTCCATGAAATCATGCCTTTCTTGAACAGACTGGTACGGAATCAGGTGCTCCAAGTCACTGTTGTGAATGCAAAGGCATGAATATATATAATCTTGTATAATTTCTGGACGTTCCTGTGCCATGCTAGTATTTCTTGCAGGGCCTGCAGCCTTTTGATCCAATTCATCTCTTCGAAACCTCCCCGCTGCGCATCTGCTCCGTGGTATCTCTCGAAGAAACCCCCAAGTTACGGAGACAGGTGATCTTGCCGGGGCAGCGACTGCAGCAACCAGCCCAGATATACAGAGAAACGCTTGTCGTAAACTGTCCACATTTGAGAAAACGGCCGGAAATTGCCTGCACAAAAAGACCAGCATTCAAGTTCAGCAATGTGAGACTGCAAGCATATGCACACACGGTGAAACAACGCATTGAATAACGGGGGGGAGGGACCTGCACGGAACACGCAATCCAGGACTTTCAGGGACCTGTGTTGCCTTGAAACCGCATCGTGAAATTCAGCTATTCTTCCAAGACCCGGGTGATCCTGGTCTTCAGGTGTATGTTTGGGCTTGTCCACAAAGTTCACAGCCCCCACTGTTCTGAACTTGGTGGTGTTGCAGTGAAATCGATGACAATGTAGCGAAATCAAGGACATTGTGATAGGGATGGAAGGTGATATATGATGAAGGCGATAGGTTACGAAGGTGGTAGGTGTCGAAGGTGATAGGTGCTGAAGGTGATGTACAATGATATAACCTTGCACTTGAAGTTGACGGATGTTGGCTGTGTTTTTACGTGGAACTGCGTAGCAACCTTTGCAAGCACTTTCGGGAAAAAGGATGCTCAAACAAACCATGCATCAAACATGTGCCCCACGGTAAATGAAATGGTTGCAGCCCAACAATGAGCAAAACTTGACAGTTGGGTACCAAATCTCCAAGGTCATTCTTTTCTGAGACATTTGCAGGCATCTTCCACACAGGCTCCTATGTTCCGTCTCTGCTTGAGCCAAACATCCACCACAAATCACAATGGAACAACGACCCAACACGCGCTCATCCACACACTGAGCAAATGCCGCAAGTGTTGAGGATGCATTCTGAAATCCAGCCAAGGCCTACTGTCAGCTAGGTAGCTACCACAACTTGTGTCCTGCCCAGTGGCAAGGAGTTGCCTTTCGCAGAATGTCAAACTCAAACCCAGCTGAATTGCACATCTGCAGGCCGCCTGCGGCCCTCTCCATTCGCATCTTCCGCTCGTTGCCAAGTGGGACGCTCATCCTCTGCATCTTCCAACCTCAAAGCCAGCTGACTGCAGGCGGCAAACAAAACACGGACGTTGAATCTCAGAGACTGACATAGTCTGTGCCTGAGCATCTGTAATGTTGCCCGTTCGAAGCTACAGCTACAAAAAAACACTTCCCATCAACACCCTGACCTCGAACCAGCCCCTGACTGCTGCCACTTGGGATGCCTTGCGTGACCTAGGACATTCAAAAAGAAGGGAAAGCGAGACGGCCCCTTGACTCTGTCCCATGCCCTTCATGGTCCAAATCCACCGTAAAGCGATTGCAGTATATCAACAGAGTCTTGCCAAAGGCTTCGGCTCAGCATTTTGTACGAACACATTTGCCCCAGCCCACAGGAGTCGCTGTAGCGCATCGACCTTCAAGAATGAACTCATCGACTTTCAAGAGATGCCTTCGGTACATCCAAATACCTTCGGCTTACACCTTTGAAAGCCTGCGCCGTTGACCGAGTTGCCCACCTGTCCATGTGAAGCAGCCTCGTGGGCCGGTGTGTCGCCAATCCTCATTTCAGACGCTTCTTCCCGGATATAAATCTATACCACGCGCTTTTCCAGTCAGTCGTTCAGTTAGCACCAGCACTTCTGGGCAGGTCACTTGGTGAAGGCAGTTAAGTTTCGCGCATATTCCCCGCATCTGGGTCAGCACTAGCCTTCAAAAAAGTGTGACGATGTGTTTCTTCGTGGCCTGGAAAGGTCTGGCCTGTAGCAAAAGCTGGACTGCTGAAGCATGTCCGTAACGACATGCCCAGTGCAATGGCGAGCAAAGGCCACGATCACCAAGGTGAACATCTGCCTAACCACGCACAACTGCCATTGCACAAATCAGGAATATCCAGAGGCTAGCTGCCAGAAGGAAACGAACACACCACTCAAGATGAAGTATGAACGCCCTGAATGCCACTAGCCCTGACGAAGCCTCAGTAAAACAAAAGTGCAGCAGGGTCCAACCGCCTCCACGTTCAAAAGTTCACAACCGGAAGTATCGAATTCCAGTTCCAACAACGATCAAAATGCTCATTGGTTGAGATGATGAACGGATGCAACGGCCAGCAAGATTGCTCTAGTTACAAGCAGGGACCAAGAGGGTAGGGCCCACCAGCTGCAAATAAAAAATATCCAGGTGCTGTCAGAAGCAGGTATGTTTGCACAAGCACCGCATGAGCGTCTTCGTTGTCTCTCGTCTGCTGTATCCTCGGAGAGCCCCCTGCATTTAAATGTCAAGTCCAGCAACAAAATCAAATACGAAACCAAAACCGAAAGCCAAAAAATGCAACAACTCCGAGGGCAACGTGCGATTCCAAGTGTGCTTACACAAACACACACGCGCACACACACACACACCAAAGCATACTTCCATCCAGTGTGGCCCACTGCTAGTGATACAAAGTGCTCAATCGCTGCATTCTACTTACCAGCTCAGTTTGTGTAGCTCCACCCATTATTACATATACATAGTTAATTCCGCCGCGGCAGCAGTTCAAAAGTCTATATACATAGTTATACTATAATATACCTTGATAGTCCTTATAAAACTATATATATACATATCACCTGCTTCGCATCAGATTCCCAGCTTTCCAATGTCAATCCGAGCATGACACTAAAAGACGCGTGTGGGGCCACGATGATGAAACAACATCCGAAATTTGAAAACACAAATACCCAATGCGTCAACTCTTGGTGGGAAGACTGTGTGTGTGCGTGGGAGCTTCCATGACAATGGACCAAACCAAACAGAAACCCCACCCAACATCCAAACACTGCCCTAATGGCGACTCACAAGCACACGGGGCAGTCTAACATTGCTGCACACAAGCCCGTCAAAAGTTGACACCAACAAGTATCATTGCAAAAAAAGCACTTACTTACTGCCCAACGGCTCAAAAGCGCACACGAGGCCTGGTGCGACAACAGCAGCGCTATCACCTTACACCATGGAATTTGTGTCACTTGCTAAGGCTGTGCAACACGACAGCCCTGTGGACAAAGAAGTCTGGCCTCTGTCTGCCCGGCCTAACAATGTGAATTGGAAGAAACGAAGACTTAACAAGAAGCTACTAGTAACAGGTGCCACGCTAGTAGTAACAGGTGCCTTACTAGTAGTAACAAGAAGCTACTAGTAACAGGTGCCTTAACTTATTCGTTTGTTCTCTTCCTTTCTTTCCTTCTTCCAACTCAAAGGAGTTAGCATTGAAATTGGCTTTCCGACTTTCCTGAGTTTTTCACCGCGCAGGCGTGATGAAGAGCTGAGCGGCCCTGCCATACCAGTATGAACAGAGGGGAGAGCAAACAGAGAGAGAGAGAGTGTGAGAGTGTGTGTGGACTGGTGAGGAGGGAGGTCTGTCAGACAAAAGTTGGCTTCGTTTTGCCATTTTGCCCAAGGCCTCTGCTTATGATGAAACCATGGCCGCCACCCTCATCCATCCCTTTCGGGCAGATCCATTTGGGAAACCTTGTTTGAGAAGCAACGGCCTAAGCTCGTCCTCAGCCTGAGCATCTTTAAGACATGTACCTACCGCTATAGTAACTCGCCCCACCCGCTCCTCAGAAAGAACCTGTGCAAAAAAGAACTTGCTTGAAATGCAAAAGGTTGGAGAACTGGGAAGTCAAACGAAAGTCATAAATGATGTTGAAAAAAGAAAAGGTATTAAAGGATTGTCAAAACTCAGGAGTCTCAAGAGGGGCACGGCACCGTGCTGCATGATAAGAAATCACGATTTCCAAGACCATGACGACAGTCATGTTCAATCATTTCAGTGCTTTCCCGCAACATGGACCGCCTTGGGATTTGTTGCGTCAACATAGCCCCCAGCAGTGAGGTAGAAGTGGATGTAAACAAGGTTGCCGTCCAGCGCCGCCTGGAACACGGAACAGAATCAGATTGAAACATCTACTCGTCGACTCGACCCCGAGAACGTATCCAGTTTGCCCACCGGCCTCTCCAAAAAGCAGGTTATATAGGTGTGACGATGTGTCACGCGTTGTAGCGCATTAGCATTGACATCATCGTTGCCCGACCATCGTCAACCGTCGTCATCCCTTCGCGGGCGAGTGCGTCCTTACATGGCCCCATTGGGGAAAGCTTTGGCTTTTGGATGGAAGGATGACGGGTCAGATTCACGTGAAACAGCGTCGACACGCCCCAAGTGCAAAATGATGATTTTGCGTAGGCCGGCGTTTCGTGAGGTCAACAGGGTGCGTCGCTGTGCCTTTTGGGCTTGGCGTTCCGAGAGTCTTTTGGAAGTGTTGAATATCACCGTGCCATTGGGATTTGCCCTTGAAATGTCTGCACCTGCGGTTTTCGTGATGTGGGTGAAATAGCAAAGTGTCGAAATCATTCCAAATGTGCGGTGGTGCAAATTTGCTAGATATGTCAAAGTGTGGCACGGTCACTGTTCGTGGCAAGCGCAGAACGCTGTGCGTGTTGGACGTGTTGAGGGCATCGCAGGGAATCGTGAGGTTGGGATATTTGATTCTGGTGACGTTGGTGCGTCAGTGTCAGCAAACAAGACAGTCACACAAGAGTGCGAAGCAAAAGTGTCGCGAAAGAGTGTCGTGTCCTACAAGAGTGTCATGCAAGGATTGTCCAACAAACATGCCGTTGAAGAGAGTCACACAAGAGTTGCGTAACGGTGTCCTAGAAGTGTCAAGCAAGAGAGCGAGCCTCGCACAAGAGCGTTCCCTACAAGAGTGTCGCACCACAGCCCCCCTACAATTCCAAGAGTTAAGCGAGAGAGAGTGGCCTAGAAGAGTGACAAGCAAAAGCATGATGAGCACCAAAGTCAAGAGCGGCCCAAGTGAGAAGCGAAGGGCCAGGTGCAATTCTGGGCAAGGACGACCATGAGCAGGAAGGGAAACCTAAGCCAAACCTGTTTTTCTCCTCAAACAAGAACCATAAGAACCCCAGGGCTTGCAGGACTGGTTCCATCTGACTTGAGCGATCCCGGACCTTTTAGACCTCCAAGGGACATTATTAATTCAAGATGTCCATCCTTTAGTAGCATTATAGTTGATAAATGTCACCTTTCGGGAGCCAAGCAAATGAGGTTGGTTTGAAGAATAAGCCACGAAAGGGTCGAACACAGAATGGGAAAACTGCTGCGCATTAAAAATGAATGAAATGCTGGACGACACTCCACGCGACCCACTTCTCTGTATGAGAGCAATCGTTCGTCCACCGAGAAGTGGGAACAAGGGGCGCTGAACTGCTGCCAATTGGTGTCGCTTGTCAAGCTGTGACTCCTACGTGTGACTTGCCAAAACCAGTGGAAAGTCTGTCAGAAGAACTGTAGCCGGATTGGCAAGATGTACCTAACACTGACTGAGAAAAGGATCCCAACCGCAAGACCACTGTTAAAGCCCAAAAGCCTGACGGGTTCAAGCATCAAGTCGGTGTTCAACCGCTCTCATTGTCCAAAGCGGGACTGGGGCGTTTCAAGCTGAGCGGCTGACCCAGGAGAGAGTTCTGGCGGCTCAAACGGGTCGAAAGCAAGCCCTAGGAAAAACAGTGATTTCTTGATGGTGCGGTCTACCAACGGTCCGTACAGATCTGCCAAACCTAGGACTACACTTCGCCCAAAGCCCTCAGTGCTGCCTGCCTTTCACGTGGTCACAGGGAGATCAGTTGCTGCCGTTTGTCAAAGCTTTGCACACGATATCTGCTCGGCAAACATAACTTGCAGACTTGACTTGGCTCGGCAAATGCCAAAGTCAAAAGCTGCCGCCGTAAGTGACAGAAGTCCGGCTCTGGCAGTGGCCCATGAGACCACGAGTGGGGCTCGGCTGGCGCAAATTAAATCTTCAATTAAAATGCTTATATACATGCGGTACGGGGGTCAATCAAACAAAGAAACAGGCTGACAGGGGTCTTGCAAGGTGGAAGAAAACAGTTGCCGCATATCGCTTCTTCCCAAATCAAACTCCCAATGGGAGCTCCAAACAAATCCCGGCAAAATGCCAAAATATCATGTGCTTAAAACCCAATGAATTGTGTTTTACCTTGATGACGCGCTTGTAGGACCACTTGACTCAAAAAATCCAGCCTCATGAATACTTCTGCACTCACGTGGGTCATTCCAGCAAGAAGCACCAAGGGTTTCATTGAACCAGAAAGGTAAATGCCCATCGCTGACCTGCGCGTGGGGTTGAACTTTGCGAGCATTCACTGCCAAGATTAAACTTACAAAGGCCAATGCCTCGCACCAATGACCAATGACATTGATGAGCTCTCGAGGTACGTCCTGATCAGAGGACGTTTCAGAGTGAGGACAGGGTGTGGATAAAGGATGGGGCCCATGGTAGAGGAGAAAGTGTTTGAGGAATGAGAGCCTGGAAGTCGACTAAAAGTGATAGAGGATAAGTAAGAGAAAACATCCCAATGAAAGAGATTTGGGAAAGGATGTATATTTGAGAAGCACAGTTTCAAAGCCCGATGATGAGAATACAGTGTGTCCGCGAGCCTTTTTGCAATGTCGGCCAACGCGCTTAGATTCAAGATTCAAGATTTTGAAGTGGCAAGCGCTGGCAGCCATTTGCAAACCGTCCTCATACCATGTAGAAAAAATCTCATGTGCGCAGAACAATTGGGTTTTATGAAGGAACGACACGACTGTCAAGAAGCACGGTACCACCATCGAATCTTCGATTGGTTGGAACACACCAAACAAGATAGACATTAGGGGGTGGCATATATACATACAGTATACTCACTCCATATGGTTTTCAGAACCAATGATATGATAAAATGAAAAAAATCAAAGTTTCACTGCCAACACCGCGGTTTCCGGATCAGGTGGCCCGCTCCCATTGACTAACCCCTGATGCAGGGTGATGGTAGTAGAAGGCACCACCAGGCCTCAACACATAAATCAAGGTTGTTTCGTGTTGTCATTGAAAACGAATGCAACAATCAAGATCAAAAGCAACAATAAGTTCAAGTCAACAACGAACCAACTACAATCTGCATCCATCAATCATTACCTTCCAATCAATAGGACCCCAGCGTTGCTTGCAGGTGCCATCCCTGCCAGGCTCTCTGATCTGCGCTGCGCGATCTCAAAAGCACAAAGAAAGCCAGGCTTTAGTTGAGCAACATGTGGAATGTCCTATGTTTGAAGAAGGGCGATAATATATATTGTTACTATATATGTATATATAAATATAGTTACCCACAAATAGGAGACGATGTATAACTTGTTAGACTGTTAGACCTTCCCAACACAGAAAATAAGAAACCGAAAGCCTCACAAAGGGTCTCACACATGGAACGCACGGACCAAGAGAAACGCAAAAGGCACACAATGTATGTTTCAAAAAAAATCAATGTACGTAAACAGGTAGGACACACATAGGCAGCCAAACCACAAGATTTAGAATCGTAGAACTTGCAGTACTCACAATTGGCAATGGAAGAAAGAGGGAAAAGCAAAAAAAAACACCGTAAGAAGAGCAATGGAGAGAGGAAGGGAGGCAAAGAGGAGGGGAAACGGGGGAGCACAAACACAACGACTTCAAAGAAGAAACACATTACAGGCCCACCAGTCGCGCACAACATTGGCAGGGCACAGTTCGACTGCCAAACGCACTGTCCTCTCAAACGACGGTTTCTCACCTTCAAGCCCTGCGTCATGTTGGTTCACCTCGGCTTTGTCCGGAGAAACAGCAAGCTGGGGCTCGCAAAGGGGTGCAAAGGAAACAATACAATTTATACTGTTTATACATATATCTTTTAAAATAGATTGCGTCGGCACAGGGGGCGGGTAAATCTGTTGCCCCAGTCGACCCAGTTGAAACGGGTGTCCCAATTGACCCAAATTGACCCGGTTGGACCCAGTTGATCCAATTGACCCAGTTGACTTTGTGCAATGGCAACTGCATCAACTGGATCAACTGGGTCACCGGTCAAGTGGATCAACTGGGGCCATTGGCTCGGGTGGAGCCAGCACCTCAACTGGGTCAACTGAGTCAGCTGGATCATCTGGTTTCGTCGCATCGGGTGGGGCGAGTGGATCAAGTCGGTGAACTGGGTCAGCGGGGTTCACCGTAAGTTGCTTGCATGATATTTTTTAAACGACGTCGGCAAGCTTCTCGAGAAATTTATACACTCATATTCGTGTACAGTATGCTTACTTGCTGAGCTCACGGGCTATTTGCGGTATACATGTTTTGACGCACTAGCCCGAGGATATTCCTTTGATAATTATCTTTGTTTGCGTGTCTCTCTCTCTCTCTCTATGTCGCATTCGATTTCCAGTTTTCGAAGCCGGTCAGGATTGCTCGTGTTGCAGAAGGGCACGCGGAAGTTCTGACCAGTTCTGACGAGATTGTGTTTTTACACGCGATGTAAAATTTATTGGGTATGATTGGCTCGAGATTCCTACAGAAACTAGGTATTAAAAAAACATATCGAACAGTAAAAACAAACCTCAAACGGATTGAGAACTGACTGGGTCTTAAAGGTGGTGGTGGTGGTGGTAACAGTAGGAGGTGCTGAGAAACCACATGGTGTCTTAGACCGTGTGTGCCGGCACACGGGTCACTTGTTTAGACCTGTGGAGTCTTCAACCTGTCAGAGGAAAGGGTTCTATCCAAGCTCAACACGGGACCCCTGTGTTGAGTTTGGTTTTTACCGTTCAGACTGCCTCATTTTATACCTAGTGACTTTGCGTGATCAAGTGTGGTAGCGCTAGTGGTACAAGCGGCGTACTTAAGTCAACCCACGTCACGCGAAGTCAACTCACTGCATGGGCACGAAGTTTCAGCAAGAAGTCAACCCACTCGCGTGAAGTCGGCTCGTTTTAGTCAAACCACCATGGTTCTAAGGATACTTACAATGTTCCCCGAATAAGCAACAAAGCTTCACTCCCTC